TGACTTTGTTGAAAGTCAGTTCCTATATAATTCAAATATTTCATTGCTTTAAAAGTTTTAATTATTATCATTTTTTATCAGTACCTTTATTAACCTGATCCTTATTTATTTATCTTTGAGGGTTAGCCTGAAAATAACAACATCAGCCTCCTCTCTTGGAACAGAAGCCCTTAATCACAGATATTTTTACACTCAATGTGAACTTGCTCATTGGTTTTGCGCTATCTTTTGAAACTGTAGAATTTTCTTTTTTTTTTCTCTCTTGTTTGTTCCTCTTAAGTAAGTCCAATTCTTGGTTTTAATTTTATACAGTTGACAATAATACATTAATAATTTAAGAATACCAAGATGAACAAGTAAAAATTTCTCTGAGGAATTCAAAGACTAGAATAAAGAAATAGGTGTGATGAGTGTGGTGTTGACAAGAGAGACAGAAGAGGCTGAAGATGGTTTCTCAGAAAAGAAGTGTCTGAAAAAGCAAGTACCCATCTTTATCTGAAGGGGAGAGTTTATGTTTCTAGAAAAGATACACTGAGACACGAAGGTGGAGAGGAGGTACAGTTACGTTTATCTTGACTTTGAGAAAGGTGTGTGGTGAGGTCCTGAGCTGGAGGAAGAAGCTGCGAGAAGAGCTAGCAGATACTTGTATAATCTATGATGACTGTCCACATGTTGCATATAATCTGAGAAGCAGCAGGAAGGCATAGGATCAGATTGTGGGGTCCGGTCTTATTTCCTTCCAGTAAACTGTAGCTTTTGTGGAACTGTCATCTTATCTGACCCCCAGCGCCTGGTGCAGGGACTGGAATTGAAGTTGGTGAGCATCGTCCCAGTACTTGACAGGTACCCTCAGCTGTGCTCCAACCTGAACAAGTAACGGCACAGGCCTGCTGCACTTTCACCATGTCCTGGGAAACAGATTTTCTCTTTTATGAAGAAATCTTTTTCAAAACTACCCCCTGTAAAGACTTTTCAAAGAAACACTTTTCCCTCTCTCACCTTTCCGCCAGATCTTAAGAAAATACAGATACTGGTGAAAATAAGAAGTATAAAGACTTGGACTGACAGTTTCACATCACTATAGGTGCTGAATAATGGTGTTAGATCTCGGACCATTTTTAATACCTTACGTGTGAAAATCATCAGAGAAACTTTTGAGTATTAGAGTGATGGTATCCTTTTGAACTCATTCAGATTTTCCCTCCTCATTTTATAATTGAGAATATTGCACCCTGGATAACTTTATAAAACTTACGATTCCATGATACATCTTCAAGGATATGAATATGTATGGCTAAGCAAAACTGATAACAGTGCATCTAAATTCCAAAATCAATCTCCACAATAGTCTAGTGTTTCCTATTGCCAAAGGGTCCCTTTAGAGTAGGGAGAGAAGATCTTCACCCTGAAACCTACAGTGTCACTTTTCAGCAGGAAGTAGCTAAGAGACTATGCCGTCCCCTTTTCCTCATGAATCAGGGTGAAGTCTCTCTCAGGGAGGAGTGATAGGGAATGGCAAAGGACACACTGACAAAGGAGATTAATCAGAATTGGCTTTGACAAGCACTGTGGCAATGGGACAATTAAAACAGACTTTCAAGGGGGAAAAAAAGAGGAACGAACTGGGGGTGAGGGTAAAGAAAATAGTGCAACAATGAATGAATGGAAATCCAAAATCTCTGTAAATGTTCATTAAAATGAATAAAATTTAATAAAAATTTTAAAAAAGAAAAAAGTTACTGTAATAATTTTATATCAAAGCATGAAAATCAATCAAAATTTAACAGTCCAGAGAAGTTTATTTTTCTTTGTATACCTCTTTTCAGTTTTAAAAAAATTTGCATGTTAGTTCTTACAAAAAAATTTGGATCATACAGTTTATACTTGAGTATATTGCCTTTTCCTACTCAATATATTTTGAGCATTTCTCTCTGTTTTTAATAGGTTCACATCTGTTGTTATTCACATATTTGCCTATTTATTAGCTACAATATTGCATTATATAATATATATGCATCATAACTTATTTCCTGTTTGTAGAACATTTAGATGGTTTTGAATTCTTGCTATTATTATTAAAAATGAAACCTTGGTCTATAAACCACATGGCTTTTCTCTTGCTCTTTCTTAAGTGGAGAATTACTGGGTTGATCAAAAGGGGTGGGCATATTTGGGCTTCTAATACATTGGGGAGTTATTTTTCTCTGAAAATGTTGTTTGTGATCTTTCTCAATCCCAGCAAATTTCCACTTACCAGACCAGTTATTCCTGCTAATTTAGAATTCCATTTTGCCCCAGTTTTAGTCATTTAATAACACTAGCAACTATGACACAATTATTAATTTGAGAAGTCCAATTTGATGTCTGTGGCTGGAAGTCACCAGTCCCTCCACAGGAGAAAGATATCCTTTCTGTAAAGATTCCAATATGTGCAGTCTTGGAAACTATGGGACAGTTGGATCCTGTCTTCAGTGCCACTGTGAGCTGGAACAACTCCATGGCAATGGGTTTGCCAAGGTAAAAGCAAATTGCCAGTGAGCTGCGGACCTTAGGGAGTTGCACTGTTAACCCCAAGACCAGGGTTGTCTGGCATTCCGAATCCACCAGTTGCTCTGTGAGGGAAATAAGGGCAATCCCCTCCTGTGTGATTTATGTTATTGTTGTTATGTGCCATCAAGGTGCCAGACTCGTAGTGACCCTATGTACAGCAGCTCTGAACCCTGCCCTGTCCTGGGCCAGTCTCACTGACTCTGACATACCTACCGCCATTGCTCCAGTCACTGTGTCAGTCCATCTCATCTGGGGTCGTCCTGCGCTGTCTTTCCATCCTTCCAGGCAAGATGTCCTTCTCCAAGGACAGGCCCTTCCTTGCCACGTGCCCAAAGTATGTGAGAAGGAACTTTAAAATCCTTGCGTCCAAGGAGAAACTAGGTTTCATCCCCTCTAAGAAGACCTATCTGTATTCTTGGAGGTCCAGGGTATGTGTGTTCAAGACTCTTCTCCAGCACTACAAATCAAAGGCTTTGATTCTTCATCTGTCATTCTTAGTCATTGTCCAGCTCTCTAATGAATAGCAAGTAATGGCTATGACCATGGCTCGGATCAGGCACACCTTACTATAGACATAGCCTCTGAAAACTCACTGGAGGGTATTTTTATACTACGTATGAGAAAATCCTAAATTAATAATAAAGGCTTAAACAAGACATTTTAAAAACCCCACCACCACCCAACATTATGAAATCTGATAGAAAATTTATTAGTAAATTCTGAAGAATTAAATTAGAAATTTACAGGCAATGTCCTGTAGGGGTCTCTGTTACTATCTATTTGCGCCTGCAATGAACTACAAAAGAATGTAAGCACCTTCGTTTTAATGCCTGATTCGTCTGCATTCTTCAACGAGCAAAAGAAAGAATCCTAATACACCATACAGTCGAATAATACCAAGTTCTCTACAAATGATATATGCAAAGCTCTCTACTCAATATGCTCCTCAGTTAGAACTGATGGAAAGATTCGCTACTCTTTGGAAACGCACTCACGCCTGCTCTTAATAGCGGAAGCATTAGCTAATGGTCTAACGCCATTAAGTGTTTACCGCATAAGTTACTGTGAAGAGCAGGAAACGAACATTGACAGCGGTGGTCGAGGGAACCGCTTCCCTCCACCTCGGGTCTCTCCTGGGGGTGCTTGCTCTCTGCCTCAAAATCTGCTTGGAAGACAAAATCGGAAGCTGTTATGTGCTGCCTCTAATTCCACTTGAGTTCAAAGAAGTCCTTTTCCAACGTTGTCTTTTTTTATCGGTGCAGCTCAAGCACGCTCGTGATCTTGTAACAGCCAGCCCGGCGGCTGGGCGTGCGGCACGCCTTTGCAAAGCAGCGGGCAGACCGGGCAGGGGACGCAGGTGCTGTGTGTGTGCAGCCCTTCTCTGCAGCCGGAGTCTATCCCATCATCGAATGCAAACTAGCCATCCGTTTTCCATCCTTCCTCGCCCAGCCTCTCACGTCCGGTGGGTGAGAAGGGGCCGGAAGGCTATTGACCCCCAGTCCTCGCGAGTCTCTTATTTAACTGAACTTGGTGACAATCGCTCTGACCCTCCGCCCCTCCCAGACAGACTGCTAAACTCGTCTAGGTTTTGGCCTGGACTGCGCCAAGCCCAGGCGTTTGGAAAGCAAAAGAAACCTGTCTAGGGACCTGGGCTGGGAGTGTGGTGGAAGAGTGACCTCACTTCAATCTCGCTCTGGTGCATCGTGTTCTGCACGACACCCCCGGCCACCTCTCAACTCCTCTTCCAGTCCCCTGAGGCCGCCTCCACCAACACTGAGAAGTTGGAGAAACTGTCACCTGTGGGAAGCCGGATTTGGGCAGAGAGAAAGGCCTTGGGCCAGAGCGCGCTGGTTGAGGGCGCGTCAGTCTGGCAGGAGCTGCCGAGCTGCCTCCCGTGGAGACCCCAGACCCCCGCCCTGTGTCCCTCGTCTCTCGGCTCACTCCTTGTAGTCCCCAGGCGCCATTGGCTTGGGGTGGCACGGAGGACCAACTTGGGCAGGCGCCCGGACTGCAAGTTCGAGACGCCCCGCCTCCTTCCCGCACTTCAGGGGCGCGCCAGCAGGAACCTTCCCATTCGGTCTCCAACTGCGGTCATAGCTGGCGTTTCGGAACTTCGCCTCCAGCCGCGCTGCGCCTGCCGCCTGCCTCGGACAACCTCCACCCAGGCCCGGGGAGCCCCCGCACTGACGCCCCAACTTTTTACGCGCAGTCTGCACCTCTCGGCTGTCCGGCTCCAGGGCCAGCGGCGCAGGCGGCACTCCAGTCTCGGCTCACTCGCCTGTTTCCTCCCCGGTCCGCGTAGGGGCAGCCCGGGGTCGGGGTGCTCCTCGCGTACCCCGCCCCCCAGCCGACTCTCGCGGAGGGGCTGACCCCCGGGGCCCAGGCCTCTTCTCGGAAGCCTTCGCCTCCACGCGGGTTCCCGCCGCTGTCGCCGGCGCGGGGGGCCGGGATCGGGCCGCAGGCCCCGTCGGCGGAGCACACCATGGCGGGTTGCTGCTGCCTGTCGGCCGAGGAGAAGGAGTCGCAGCGCATCAGCGCCGAGATCGAGCGGCAGCTGCGCCGCGACAAGAAGGACGCGCGCCGCGAGCTCAAGCTGCTGCTGCTTGGTGAGTGGTCCTCTCCCGCGCCCCGCTCCCGGGAGCCCCCACAACTCCGGGCGTCTCTCCTCTCATCTTCGGTGGGGCGACTTTCGAAGGCTCCCCTTTTAAAATAGGCCTGGGAGGTTAACACTTAATCCCACAAGTCCTAACTTGTGCAGAAACCAACTTAGATTTGGGGGTGCTGCAGGGAAGCTGCCTGACCCACATGATGGGCTCGGGTCCAGCGCTGATCCTAACTCTCTGGGATGTCTGTGCCGACCTTTGCTCGCTACTTAAGGACATGGCTTTCTTGAGATCCTAGGTTTTGTTGTTGCGAACCAGCATAATGACGCCATGTGACAGTGGAACTGCCCCACAGAGCTGTCCCGCTGCCATCTGTAAGGGAGCAGGTCATCACGTCTGTCTCCCATGGAGCCACTGGGTGGAGTTCATCCGCTGATCTTTCTCGGTTAGCGGCTGAGCACTAAACCGCGGTATCACTAGGCTCCATGATGCAGTTGGAAGTGCCCCCACTTTACAGAGTTAAAAATAGAGGCCGGGACAATGGGTGGGCTTGTCTGATTGAGAAAAGACAGAGCAGATACTAGGCTGGGGGTGGGGTGAAGTCCCAGATGCTAATCACTCTCCTATGGCCTCGGTGACTCCTCAGACACTGTCTGGTGGTCTCCTTTGGCGAGGTCCCGCAATTCCAAGCCTATGAGAGAGCCACGTCCACTGTCCTGCTTCTGTGTGCACCCTTCCTAGCTCCAGCCCCTGTTAGCTCTTAAGGAAGCTTTTCTGGTCTCTGCAAAGCTCTAGGTAGCTGCCTGCATCCAAGAACAGAAAACACGTTAACGTTCCGTTTATGCCACAGTGCGAGGATCCCACCTCCTCTACTTTCTAGAGGCCTTCACAGCTCACTGATTTTTCAAAAGTTTATCTTTCCTTCTTCAGAACTGGAGACCAAAATCGTCCACTGTCAAAATCTTCATCCACAGGCTGAAGCGTTGCCACTTCCCACCCCACCCTCCACCTTCTTGTCCAACACAAATCTCTCACACTGCTGGGCTATTTGTCTTTCATGTAAACACACATCCTCGGCTAAAACTTTTAGAAAAGTTCATCTGTTGTGGCTGGGTGCCATGGAGTTGACTACATCATTGAAACCCTCCTAGTAACAAATCAGAACCCTGCCCTATCTTGCATCATCTAATTAGTATAAAAGAGAAAAAACCTTTAGTCAATACTGCCTTCAGATATGGGCTAGGAGATCCCCTGTATTTAGAGGGCAGGGCATAAAACCCCTGTATTTATAGGGCCGGGGCTAGACTTTCATTCTTCCTCTCTCAAGGGATAGGAGTTGGCAGATCCTAGGGGACCTCCCTCCCACAGTGTTTGTTCCCTTCTAAATTTTAATCCAATTTCCTCCTTGAGTGGCCACACACCTGCCTCCAGGGCTTGTGCCTCGGATGTGAGCTCCCAAAGGGGCAGTTAATTTCTTTCAGCTCTTGGAAATATGAGCTGGAGACCACAGGAGTGCCCATGGAAGCTCCCTGGTGGGATCAGAGAAGTCTGTCAGATACCTGGCCCTGCTTTTCCATTCCTGGTGCAGAGCTCTTTGGGGTCTGAGAATTTTACATTTTCCCTGGCCTTCCCTTAATATGAAGGAACATCTAGGAGATTCTTTGATAGCCTGCTAGCTTGGTTAGCTCTTTGAAGTAGTATGCAAGCCCTCATCTGCACCCTTCCCAGGCAACTCAGGGTGAGTTTGAGCTGCCATCTCTTCAATTGCTGGTGGAGCATGTAACCATTCTTGGTGTCACTCAGGGACTCACCTAAAAGAGAGAGGTCTTGGGTGAGAAGTTTGAGTGATTCCTTCACCTTTCACAGGTTGTCACTCCAACCTTTTTTTTTGTCCCCTGGAGCCACTGACCACAAACAAACAAAACCAGATTTCTGGCTTTCTCTTTGTCCCGAATCAAGGCAGCCTCACGTAGTACAGAGAAGAATGCTCCATAGTGGGTTCTTGCCTGGCTTCTCTAGATCTTGTTTCTGTGGTGCTGCTGGGTGCGTGCAAAGCGCCGGTGGTTACATTAGCAGCTGAATGAAACATGTCTATGTCCCCCAAGACCTTCACTGTGTTCCTGTCCTGCTCTGACTGGCTCCTCTTCTCTGTGACAATTTCCAACTAGAAACACAGTTTCCAAACACCAGGGGCTATCTGGAGCCTGAGGTCTGGATTTCTGGTTTCTTTTACTCTGAGGGACAGGGGCAGGCTTCCATTTCTTCCGCTCAAGGAGAGGAGGAGGCCATGGCTCAGGAGCAGCAGGTGGACAATTCACCTGAGCTTCTAAAGTCGATTAGATGCCCAGGTGAAAAACCCCACTTTGTAAAAATGAGAGTTAGGAATGCAGTAGACAGGTCTTGGATGTTGTCTTGATGACACAAAGAAGGATGTGGTGGTATTCTGTGACTATTACTGCCACGAAGCCCCCAGAGAGCAGGTCTGATCCCATAGTCTGTAACACATGGGGTCCCAGGGATTGGAACCTGCAGCAATGGGCTTTTTTGTCTCTTTCGGTTCCTCTGCACCCCCTCAATTTATAGCTGAACAACAGAGACTAAAATATTAGGGAACTATACTCTTTTTTTAAAAACAAAACAAAACCAAAAGTATATAATATTTGTCATATTGTTTCTGTACTTTGCAGAAAAAGTTTATTACTTATGGGTTTGGGTTTTTTTTTTCTCTTTCCCTCAATGCTCATCTCTGCTAACCCTCTGAGATGGATTCTTTCTGCATATAAATTGTTATTTACTGTTTTTAATATTAGTGGTCTTGCCCCGTAACTGTTCTTTTGTGACTGACATGTGTCACTAGGCATCATTTGTTGTCAGTTCATCCATGTTGTGACTTTGTTCATTCTTGATCAGTTTTCAGTGATGCGTAGTAATAATCCATTGTGTGAATGTTGCACGGTTTCTTTTAGCCATTCCTCCGCTTATGGACACTTGAGTTGTTTCCAGTTCTCTGCTCTTAGAAGTAGTGCTGCAGTAAACATGGGTGTGGACCTATCTGGGATATTAATTTCGTTTTATTTTATTATTTGATACAGTGCATGTAATGACCTGAAGTGCCACCAACTTTATCATAATAAAGCACACTTTTGCAACAAAATCGTAAGAGGATATTTCCATAGTTCATCCACCAGTGCTGCCTATGCTCCTTCCCCACTGGGTAAACGTTTGCCTGGGTCGATGGCATTTAAGAGCTGTTGACTGGTTAGGGCCAATATTGCAAGAAGTCAGCCCAAGGCTTCTCAACCCAGGAGATGGCAGGATGAAGGAGACAGCTTAACTTAGTAGCTTGAAATTCTTTATTGGTTCCTTGGATGAAAGGACAAGAACTGAGAGTTCTATATGAACACTGAATGGTTTCTTGTAGGAAGCAAGGATCTGGACAATAGCAATTAAATCTGAAATTGTGGTCTTTGACTGGTTTTTGTGGTAAGAGAAGCTTAGTGGAGTGTTGGTTTTAATCAGGATGAATGTCTCCAGCACTTCTGCAGCTTTGCTCTTGAGGCAGATGTCTCTTTGAAAGTCTGGGGTAGAATGCTGATTGGAGAATTTAGTATTTGACTTTAAGGACTAAACATCTGTGGACAGTCTGCCTGGGTTCAAGGCCTGGGCCTCCTGGCCGTGAACCAATCTCTGGACTTCATTTAGTGGTAGGAACTCAGTAAATAGGAGCTGGTTTTGACAGTTATGACTACCAGTGAGGTGTCATTTTCATTTTCATTTTCCAGCTCAATTGTAGGCTGTGTGGTCAACACCCCATACCAAAGCCATTGTTACCTAGTGGCTTCTCGCTCATGGCAACTCCAAGTCAGAGAGCACTGCTTCGTAGGGCTCTCGCAGGCTGCCTTTTTAGGTCTCCAGACCTTTCTTCCAAGGTTCCTATATGCAGATTCGAACCTACAAGCTTTTACTCAACACTTACGAGCACTTCCTGCTTGCACTTCTCAGGGACTCTGGTTGTATGGCGGTTTGAAATTGCCTGGTTGTACTTTAACAGCAAAATATTGCTTTGCATTTCTTTTACTGTTTTCTGAGCTATAAAAGACTTTAATGTAATTCTTCCTACTTACAGTTTGAAAAATCTAGGTCCCACAATATTTTGTGGTATTTATTATAGGTATGTTGTTGCTGTTACGTGTCATCAGGCTGGAACTGACTGAACCATCCAGTAAGTTTTAAGAGACTGTAAAACACTTGGAGAAGGTTGGGCAGTCTCCTCCTGTGTGATTAACTGCCTCTGAAAACCTGCTGGAGGGTCAGCTATTGGTCAGTACCAACTCTGTGGTATACAGCAACAACAAAACATTTGGAAAGAGATTGTACATCTTTTTCCTGTGGAGCTGCTGGAGCCACTTAGAACCACTCACCTCTGTATCGCCAGCTCACCCTCTTCCTATCAGGCCACCAGAGTTCCCTCCCATTCACTCTTATTGCCACAGACTTAGAACTGACTCAAAGCAGGTCTTCGGGTTAGCAGTACAACTCCCTATGGCCTATGCCTTCAGAACTTGATTTTAAGCATGTTATTGTTGTTAGGTACCATCAACTTGGCTATGACTCATAGTGACCCTATGAACTAGATCTGAACCCTGCCCAGTGCTGTGCCACCCTCACCATCTTCAACATGCCCATTGTTACAATCACTGTGTCAACCCTTCTTGTTGACTATTTTCCTCTCTTTCTCTCACCTTCTTTGCTTTATCAAGCATTGCGTCTTTCTTCAAGGAATGATGCCTCCTGGCGACATGTCCAGAGTATCACCATCCTATCACCAAGTTTCACCATCCTTTCCTCTAAGGACCACTGTATTGCTATATATACATATGTTGTTGTTGTTGTTGTGTACTGTTGAGTCAGAACTTACCCATAACTGACCCTCCAGGAGGTTTTCAGAGGCAGATAATCACTGGGGAAGAGATTGTCCATCCTTCTCTCATGGAGCAGCTGGT